GTGTGGGACCCGGCCCTAGAAAAATGGGACCCGGGTGGACCCAGGTGGGACCCGGATGGGACCCGGTGGGACCCGGTGGGACCCGGATTCGATCTGGCTAGCAAAGTATGGGACACGTGACAACCAGATGAAACTTCTTGTGTGGGAAACATGGGACCCGGTGACACCCGGATAAGACCCGGCGAGCAAAAAAACGGGATTCGGTGACGCAGAAGGTGGGACTTGGATGGGCCCGGTGGGACCCGGTTGGGACTCCTCGCAAAAAGCGGGACCTTGTGACCGCTCAGATGATGTGGCCTCAAAACCACACGTTGATGTGGCTTGAGAACCACACGTTAAGTGGCCTTGATGTGGCTTCAAAACCACACGTTTGTGGCTTATGTGGCTTCAAAGCCACACGTTTGTGGCCCGGATGTATTAAAGGGGTCACCAGAAGCCTCGGACCTGAACGAACACGTGGGCTGCCTTTCTTCTTTCTTTACTACAGAGAATTCTAAGCCGGAGCTGGCTCCAAGTCCACTTGCTGGAGCTAGAAAAAGGCTTCAACAAGCTTCGATGATCTTGCAAGCTATTGGCTATTGCTGACTCCATAGAGCCATAGATCTTGGCAATCCTAGACAGGAGCTTCGATGATCGTGTCGCAGCGATGCATCCTAATAAACGTCAAAGATCTCGATTGGCTTAAAAAGATCCTCGAGATACCTCGATGACATTGCAAACTGACACTGATCTCCAGTGGATATAGAAGCAGGATGAGCCCAAGAAATGATGCTGCGGACGACCCCGTTTCTGGGCCCACGAAACGAAAGCAATTCTGGCTTCGCCACAATGGGCCTCCCCAGTAACTTCCACGCCTCGAACAGACCGAGAAACGCCACAGGAAAACGCATTGTTCTCCTTTTATGAAAAACGGATGCATCTTCTTCTTGAAGCAGTCTGCTCTATCCTGGGAGGCAAGCTTTTCTCTGTTCAGAGATTCTTTCTGAACAGCGGCTAAATCCAGAGAGTCTCGTCTTGAGAGACGGACCTCTTTTGTTTTCGTCCAGCGTTGTTATGTCGCACCAGTCGTCAATCAGCTGTTCATACTTGAACCACGAAGTGGTGCCATGATAGGTAGGCGCAATCTTGGGCGTTATGCCAAGTTGGGCTGGCATGCGATCAGACAATGCACACGACTGTGCGACATAAGTAGCTGGACCTTGTGAGGTCTCTTCGTCCTCATATCCCCCGGAGGATTGAGAGCTGTCGTCGGCATCGCTGTGCGAGCTCGACATGGTGCTCCCTAAGCCCGCTTGGTTAAGCGATCGGCTTGGCCGACCGCTGTTGCGGTGCTTTTTGCAAGGCGGGCGGCCCTTCCGGGCTCTGCAACCAGAAAACTGAGCCGATACACCCCTTTGGATTCCTCCTGTTGGAGTGTATGACCAGTTTGAGTCCCGTGGGATCTAAGGCAACGCCCAGCACACAGACAGCAAGTGTTTTGTTCTGCTACGCAGAGAGAGCTTGTGTCAAGTCGGTAAAACCACTTGAGCCAGCGAGCAGCGGACATATATACATGTGAGCATACAGCCATGCCATTGCTGAAAGTACCTACCCCTTTTGGAGTTTAGGCAAACAGGGGGTGGATATCAAAGGGGGTGGGTAATAAAGGGTGGGTAACAAAGGGGTGGGTAACAAAGGGTGGGTAACAACGGGTGGGTTCCAAAGGGTGGGTAACAAAGGGTGGGTAACAACGGGTGGGTAACAAAGGGTGGGTAACAAAGTGGCTGGGTAACACAGGGGTGGGTAACAAAGGGCATCAACGCGCGAAAAAACCGAGGCTCTCTCTTACACAGGCATGTCTGCGCTGCACTGGAGATCGACGTACTGGAAGCTGATCGGATATTGAAAGATCGTGGAGTTTCACGAAGGCCTTCCAGAATCGGAAGGTCTGAGAGGCCCAGGACGCGACGACAATCGGTCCATTGGCCCGATAATTTTGCGAGCTGGATCGCAACTCGTTCGCTCGTTCGCTCCGCTCGGGTCCACAATCTTCGAGTTGCGATCCAGCTCGCAAAATTATCGGGCCAATGGACCGATTGTCGTCGCGTCCTGGGCCTCTCAGACCTTCCGATTCTGGAAGGCTTCCGTGAGAGTCCACGATCTTTCAATATCCGATCAGCTTCCAGTACGTCGATCTCCAGTGCAGCGCAGACATGCCTGTATAAGAGAGAGTCGCAAGTGATGGGCTGGCACGACCACAGACGGTGGCACGGACTCCGACCACGGATGTTCAAACTTTGAGCGGCATGCAGGAGTCCGGGGCGGTGGACCACTGGTTGGAGGCCCTCCTAGTACCGTCCCTTCCACCACTCGTCGGGCTTCAGAAGAATCTACATGAAGCACGATGCACTCGATGAAGCAGCTCGGGTTCGGCAACCCAGAGCATGTCGCTGGAGCCGTCTGTGTTCGGGAGAAATGAATGCGAGCTTTACCGATTCGTCCATGCCACTGGGATCGGACTGGGACACCCGCAAGGTCGTGGCCGTAAAATAAAAACAGGCAGGGAGCTTGGGAAGTATTGCACCGACTTGCCAGACTGGATGTAGTTGGTGTCACCCGTGGCCAGCTTGTGGTCGAGCGAGGCTACCAGTTCGTCGTTGAAGGGACCTTAATTTTGACCGCTACCTAAGTGGTGACAGAGCAGGAGGAGCCACAGAGCCATGGAGCCCATCCAGAGCCGCTTCGATCTCTTGGAGATTTTCGGGTTCGAGGGATGGGCTGCGGGACGTGGAATTGTGTGGAGGGGATCAGTGTGGGACAGACACTGTTTAGAGTTGAGGGTCTGTGTGTTACGTTTTCAGACTTTGGGTGCAGGCTAAAGCGTGCCTCCAAAAGAACCAAATGTACCATTTGTTCTCTATAAAGCTCAACATTGTGCTGCTGCCGGTTGGATGCTGGGTTGAGTGTGTGTCCGAGTACGCTTTATTTGTGACAACCGGTGTTGCAACCGCTCGCAGTGGTGCAGCCAGGTACAGACTTCCAGCCGTGGTGGGAGTTTCACAGGCTTGCACCAAGATCAAGACAGGAGATCACCTAGTAGTGTGCGGATCCGGCACAGTGCAGCTCCTTCGGCACAGCTTGGATGCCGCGTGATTTGAATGCCACTGGCAAGCCGGCCTTTTTTGGGCTGCAAGGGAAAGCTCTGGAAGTGTGAGCACCTCAAGGCGTGAAATTTGTCGAACTTCCTGGGGCTTAATGGATGTGCCGTTTGTCTGTCGGGTCTCTGCCGCGCCTCGAGCGGAGACGTCGTTTAGTTGCTCGGTTCGAATTACAATGGCGACTTAGGTAACGAGTATTTGCTCAATGCGAATGCCCGAAGTTTGAGGCACCAGTTGTTCAATCGAGTTGTTATTGGATGTGTGTAGCCAGGACGTGGCTGAGGGGTGGCAAGATGAATTTGTTGAGTGCGGCTCCGGGGTTCTTAGTTCGGTGTGGTGTGGTCCACACCACACCGACGGTGTCATTAGTGGACTGTTCGCTAAACCCTAAACTCGAGGACTAGAGTTTAAACCCGCAGCACTCGAAACCCGTCTTGTCATCTCGTTGCCAAGCGCTTTGAGTCAAAGCGACTGTGAACGGGCTGCAGAAGAGCAGTCGATAGCCTCCCGACCGACGGCTCGAAGGCTGCAGTAGTCATTGCGAGCAAAAGTTTCGCGTGCCTAGCCGTTGCAGGACACGGCACATTCAAGGCGCACAGGTGCAGCATCTCTGTGGCTTGTGGCTCAAGCCACGTTTCCCTTGGAGGCGAGCCGAAGGGATGAACATGCAGAACCGGTGAACTTCACATCTCCGGTTTGGAGTTGGGGTAGCTCCGGCAGATGTGAAGCTCAGTACACTATCGTACCCTTATGATACCTTTAGATACCGCCCTAAACCGTAAACCCGAACTCTTACAGTCCCGATACGTAACCTTCATAGGAATTCTGGATCGCTCCGAGGAACCTTAAGGCAGGGAAGCGGCTCGTGAGACTACAGCCCAAATTTAGGGTTTAGGGTTTAGGGTTTGTTCGCATGTTTTCCTGCTGCGAGGTGAGAAACCCTGACCCTGCAGAGGAAGCACGGCCGCGAGGGCCCCAGCAGCTTGCCGCAGAGTGCTACACCCAGTCCGAGCACACTTTTCGTTTCAACCCCTAAAACCTAGATGCATATGAAGCTGCCTGCTGTCTTGATGCCATTGAAAGTTGAATCCGCTGTGGCTTGAGAACCAAGAGCCTTCCGCCTCTCAAACACATAAGAAGGAAGTACCATCATTGACCTCAGATCCCTGCAACTATGGTGACAAGATTCAGAAACACAACGCGATATTGGAGTTTCCGAAAACAGGGGTACTTTATTTGGGGTCCTTATAATAAGAATACTACTATTGAAGGGTGCTATACTAGGGTCCCCTATTTTCGGAAACTCCCATATCAAGAAGAACTGCGTACCTGGACGAGGAAGCGGCGTTTCGGCCCCTTAGCTCGGCAGGTGAGGCCGAGTTGGAGCTCGAAGGCCAACTGCTGACTAATTAATGTAAAAGCCAGAAAGTTGGAATATGATCATCCTAACCCCTTTTGGTATATTATGGGGTATCCTACCATGAAACCATATTCCCACTTTCTGGAGTTCCCTGTAATTCATTGCGAGGTGAGCAGCATGCTTATGGGCCATCAATGGGAGTTTCCAAAAATTAGGGTGCCATATTCTGTGGTCCTTATAATAATGATCCTACTATGTAGGGTACTATATTAGGTTCCCCTATTTTCGGAAACTCTCAAATGAGCTATAAAGATGCTGCTGGCAGAAGCGGTACATAGTGCACCAAGATGCTGAGTGCCGGCCAAAAACTGCAAGCACGGTCGTTCGTGCATTTCGGTCAAACGTACGGTTGTTACTGTACTTTTCATCCAGCCCCTCCGTTGGAACGGTGAGCGTCTTTAGTTCACAGTGCTGTCAGCAGACACCACACCGCCGTTCCAGCCATGCCCTACCGCGGTTATGGAGGTCGCTCCGGCGGTGGCGGGTACCGTGGCGGCCCCTATTCCAGCACCGGTGTCTACACCAGCTCGGGGCGTCCTGTGAGCAACGTGGCTGCCTACGAAGCGGCGGGAGGGAAATGCTTCACAAGCAGCGGCGGCACGATCCGCAATGCGAGCTCGTACTCCAACGCTGTCATGAGTTACCGGTCTCAGGGCAGTTCCAATCCGCATCACTACTACCACTACACCACCTCCGAGGGTGCCGCAGCCATCCAAAGCAGCGGTAGGATCAACCCCAGCACCGGCCCGGGCGACTGTGCCCTCGGGGAGGGGACTTATGTGACCTCCAAGGCGCCGAATTGCTCCAAGGTGAACGTCTTGAGCAACAACTACGGTCAAACGGGCCCGGGTGACAACCGCGCCGATGCGTACGTGAAGATTCCCGCCGAGAGAGTGGAGGCCATGTCAGGCAAGAGCGTCTTGGGCAGGGACGTGTACGTGATCCAGGGGGCCGTTGATCTGAAAGAAACAGGGGCGGTGGTGAGAACAAAGTGAGGCACCGTGGAAGCTCGTTGAACAAGCTGAACTCGTGAGGGGCGGCACCGGGCAGACACTGAGCCTGTGAGCGCGTGGGGTCCATTCTTCAGATGTGAGGCGCTCCGAAGCCATTGCTGCATGCTGCGCCTTGTGGTTGAAGCTCATCGTCGCAAAGTCGACACCCCTGTGTTGCACATGCAGCACAATTTAAGCTTATCATGTTAATCGTACTACTCTACTCGGTGGTGTCGGCACATGCTGAGTGAAGAAAGATCGCCCTGCTGGTTTTGTGCGGATGTGGCGGACTTGAAAGGGCTCAGGGCGACGCGCGTGGTCAGGGGAGCTGAGGGGCCATGTGAGCTATAGTCTAAACTCCTATTATCCATATGACAGTTGGAAGCATATGACACAGTTCGCACTGCAATCCATGCCATTACGTCCTGTTTTGGCAGGGCATCGTGTGGTGTGATATGGTATGGCAGAGTATCCTGTAGGATAGTTTCGTGTAGTGTAGGGTAGCATGATATCGTGTCGCACCATATAAGACTGAAGGCGCAGTATGAAATACGGCAATCTACGATGATGTTCTTTTGTATCATACCATACCATATTGCATTCTACTACACTGTCCTATACTATCTACACTACATGACACTGCACTACACTGCACTGGACTATACTATACTGTACTATACTTTACCATACTATACTGGACTGTATCATACTATACGGTATTAGACTATACTATACCACATTATATTATACTACACTACACTACGCTACACTCCACTCTACTGTGCTATACTATGCTGCACTATGCTTTGCACTCCACTATGCTATACTCTATCATCCTATACTCGTACCGTATTATAGACTACACCATGCTGCGCTCTACTATGGTTTGTTACACGGTATTATACTGCGCTATACTGCACTATAGTACACTATCCTACACTACACTGTATTTTTCTATAGTGTACCCTGATATACCATTTGTAGCTTCCATACGACACTATAGTATACTATACCAGACTACTCTGTACTGTAGTGTGCTGTAGTGTACTGTGCTATGCTGTGCTATGCTATGGTTTGCTATGCTACGCGATGCTCTATCACAATATACCATGCTGGACGATGGAAGCTATGCTTTGCTACACTATCCTGCACCATGCTACTAGTACAGTATGTTGAATCTATGGCACTGCACTCTGCACCATACTATACTGTGTAACATGATTGTTCTAAGCATGGCATGGTACGGCATGGCATGGCGTAGCATTGCGTTTATTTTTTTCTGAGATTCGTCATTGTCTGGCAACCGCTATCCGGGGCTGGTCCTCATTCGACTGCTGACCTAAAGGTGAACCGCTGCCCTTTGGCTCGAGACCGAACCGTGCAATCCACCCGAGAGTCTCGGGACCGGCCGCTTGAAAACTGCTTGAGCAAAAAATCAAACGGACATGGTTCTACAAGGCGTCTGTAGGGGACTTGTTTAACTGCGCCTGGCATTCTCTGACCCTACTTCCCAAATGAAGGGCAATCGAAACGATCATAAAGGAACCCCATGACTCGCATTCCAGAGCCCCCCACGTTTCGAAGCGCCCGTCCTTTTCTAGCCTAGTATAGTATAATATAGTCTAGTCTAGTATAATGTAAATAATACAGCATAGTATAGTATAGTATGGTATGTTACAGTACAGTACAGCACAGCATAGTATAGCACAATATTGCATAGTATAGCGTAGCATAGTACTGTGAAGAATAACATATCATCGTATGCGTTGCATGTCTTTTCCCAAATTTTCGGCACGTCCGCAGCAATGTCCCAAAATCACCTGAACATGGATGTCCCCTCGGATGTTCCGGCTGACGAGCGCATTGGGGGAGGGGCCTTGGCTGGCAAAGTAAACTCGCTACCGTCGATGGCTAGTACGCAGCAGTCACGGCCCGACCCCAAGGAACCCCGGAGTCGGGTGTCACGGAACAGCCAAAAAGAGATGATTCTTCAGAAGACCGTGAAGCGCCTGGAATCCGAGTACCGTGTCTTGCAGCTCTTTCCGGAGGCAGCAGACGACGCAAAGAAGGACTGGGTGCAAAAGTGGGTTGTTTCCAAGCCGTTTAGATACGTGGTCGCCGGGGTGATCCTTGTGAACGTGGCTTTGATTTCGGTGGTGGAAAGTGCTTGGGAGTGGGACCAAATTGCTGATGTGACCTACATGATCGAGCGGATTGCCCTCGCATTCTACCTGGCAGAGTGGACCATTCGCGCGTGGTGCTGCCAGCTCAAATCTGATACGTGGTGGATGCTGCTGGATCTGGTTCTGATATTGGTTGGTGTCGTCGCGCTGATACCCAATCAGTTCTGTGTCTCCGAGAGCTCATGTACGGCGTTTCAGCGATGTTTGCTGCTAGTGCGTCTGTTTCGCCTGTTGAAGCTTGTGCGAGTTTCGAAAGAATGGCGCCGTTTCAAACCCATGTGGGTTCTCCTTGATGGGATGATACTTGCCTTCCCTACCCTAGCCGCGGCGGCTGTCTTCGTTGCGATCATCTTGGCCATGTTCGCTGGCTTGGTGAACACCGTGCTCATCAACGACGCAGACCTGTTGGCAGATCCCGACCTGGGCCCCTTGGTACGAAATAATTTTGAAACGTTCCCAAAGGCGATGCTTTCACTAGTCCAGTTCCTTTCTGGCGACAATCTTTCGGAGCTGTACTTTCCGCTTGTGTTGGCCAAGCCTGCGCTGGGATTAATTTTCTTACCCATCTTGATCATGATCACACTTGGGCTCGTGAGCTTACTGCCCGCCATACTAGTTGCGGACAGCGGTCTCGAAAAAGAGCGAAAACAGTTCGAAGAGCACGAGAGTTTCACGAAGCTCACCGCGAAGCTCGAGGAGGTGTTTCTTGAGGAGGGATTTCTTCAAGTCGACCGTGACAGGATCGAAATGGCCAGCCGTCAGCACGAGGGTTTCAGCACCTTCAACTTTCCAGATCTGTTTGACCTTTTGGCCAGCAAGCTGTGTCTTCATGAGAAGGACCCATCGCTGAGCGTGGAGGAGTTCGTCAGTGCAGTGACCGACATCTACGTGTTCCAATTGCCCGTGGCCACAGTGGAGATGAAGGCGCAATTGCGCCGACTCACCCGGTGGGTCGCCCCAAGCGTGAACCGAGTGGAGGCCGATTTGGGGAGCATGCAAGACCAGCTTCAGCACTCACAACGTGATATCCAGTATCTCAAGAAAACGATGGAAAACATGGACAAGAAGCTCGACCGCCTCTTGAGTCATTTTCCCGTAGATGATGTGACAATGTCGTTTTGAAGATTAGCCGATGTTGCGGTTCATGTGCCCCAATATGGGTAGATGGAACTTATAGCGTGTGAACGGTCTGTGCAGCATGCTCTGCAGCGCTTTCCCACATAGTGGTGGGTGTAGGTGCGCCAATGCCGCTAATGTCGTTGAACCGACTTTGCAGTTCATGTATTGCCTCAGTGATGGGCAGATGGGACTTATAATAGCCAGTGCTGCTGTCTGTGCAGCACGCTCTGCAGCGCATTCCCACAAAGTGGCGCATGTCACACTCTTGCAAAGTGGTGGGTGTAGATGCGCTGGTGTCGTTGTAAACATTAAACCGGTGTTGCTGTTCATTTGCTATGATGGGAGACAGAACTTGCGACTTACGACCTGTGGAGCGGTCTGTGCACCACAGTCTGCAGCCCATCTCCACAAAGCCGGCGGGCTTTTCTCGTAAAGCACCAATGTCCCGATTTTGCGGTTCATTTGCCCCAATATGGGTAGATGCAGTTTTCCACAGCGTGTGGAGCGGTCTGTGCACCACCATCTTCAGTGCGTTCCCCAAAGAGTGGGGCGCCGCATTCTCCCAAAGTGGTCGAACTTGTTGACTGCAGTCTGGACCCCAAAAAGCTTCTGAGATCCAACATGTCCTCAAAGGAACCCTGAACCAAGCCCGAGTGTTTCGTAACGCAGACTAGCCTGGAAATCGAGCAAGATCATCTTGCTTTCCGCGCTCTTTGATGAGGCACTCTTCCAGCACGAGGACAGCTGAGCATGCATTGCCTGTTGCACGAGTTGATCGCGCCCAGACTTGGATATAAAGGTCCTCGTTCCGAGATGCCGTGTGTCAAAGGGGAAAAGGAGGGACCCTTAATGGGGACCCCTACCCTAAATGGGCTATATAATGGTTATATAATGGCTATATTAAGGGTCTATACCTAGGGGTCCTTATTAAGGGTCCCCCTTTTCCCCTTTGAGTGTGGATGCCATTGAGAGTTGAATCCGCCGTGGCTTGAGAACCAAGGGCTGTTTCGAGAACAGGAATCACAGTACGAACGCTGCGCTCCAGCATCCCAGCCGCTGTCTTTCTGCACGGCTCTCAAGTGTCAGGCATAGGCTGAAAGTAACAGGCCGCCCGTGACTTTCAAAAAGATGGAACACAGAACCGTCCCAAAATCCAAGACCCCATACCCTTATCCCTGACCCCTGCACTGAGAGACAGAGGGAGACATCGCGGAATCGAGTCAGTCAGTGTTCAAACTCCAGCACTTGGAGGCCAAAACTCGTGCTTGATACCTGTAAATCCTCAGCCCTCGCTAAATCCTAAACCCTAAATCGCTGAAAATCAGACTCTGCAGAAGAGCATGGCGGACGACGCCGGCGACGAAGGCTGTCCTCGGATGTCTCATTTGGGAGTTTCCGAGAAGAGGGGACCCCAAAAGGCTAGCATCCTTGTTTTAAGCACCCCAAGATAAGGTACTGATAATTTTTGGAAACTTCCATTTTGATTTTTCCGGTTTAGGTTTAGGGTTTCTGCGTACTTGGATTGAGGGTTCGGGTGTCCCCCGAAATAGGCTCAAAGTTCTGCTCCGTCTTGAACGGCCTACAGGGCGGAGTCGATGTGCCTCAGCGAAGGTGAAAAGATAGCGGCCCTTAATAATCAGAATAATATTATACTATACTTATAATAAGGAACCCCCAATTGGTAATTATTTAGGCCCCAATACTGAGTACGTAGTTTTTATTGCTTTTTTCCAAGGTCCTTTGAATTTTGTTTGCCAGACTAGTGGGGTTTGATTTCGGGAATTGGTGAGTGCATAGAAGGTCCTTAGGAATGTTGGCGAGCATAAAGATGTCAGTTTTGAATCACGAGGACACTACTGCACCCCTTACATCTCATATGGGGGTTTCCGAACATGAGGGGTACCTTATTTTGGTGTCCTTTCGGAAACCCATATTCAATCGAAGTTTAGACGGCGTGCAAGCAGGAGGTCCAAGACAAAGAGTAATTTAAGGAAGAGGTTGACTGCAAGAATGGCCCCGCCGCGAAAGATACGGCAGTAGAGAGAATGACCCACGAGACAAAAGGGACACTCATGAACAACTCTACGAAGGACCAGCTGCACACAGGTCAACGCTGATCAGCATGGCACCTTCGCTGCCCAATTCTTGACACTAAATCCTGGACCCCGAAAGCTTAAGACCCAAGCCTAAAGAGCTCTGAATTTGTTGTTATAAGTATAACAATACAAATAACAACAGCAATAATAATAACAACAACAATAAGAAGAATGATAATCTTAGTCATAAACACAACAATAGAAACAATGAGTGGGAACAGCAATAGCAATAAGAACAATGATACTCAGAGTCATAAGCTATAACCACCCTACTGATAACCCCACTTATAACTACCCATGAACCCTAAACCGGAACCCCTAAACCCTAAACCACCTATAGCCCCTTATAGGAACCTTCAAAATAACCTCCAAGCAGTCATAATCCTACTAATTAGAATCGGGTTTTGGGGTTTATCATACTATCATTATAATAAGGAGCCCCCTATGAAGGCCCCTACGTGATCCAGATTAAAGGCCCAAGTACAGAACCCCTACAACCTATACCCTAAACCCTATATAAGCCCTACAAGCCTTTCCCTAAAGCCGAACCTCCAAGTAAACGCCCTAAGCCTTAAACCCTGTAATCCATAATCCTAACCCTTTGAAGGTGCGCAGCATCCCCTGGAGCGGGCCTACTGCTGGTCCGTGGCCAGCATCAGTTGGCTCACTCCCTTGGCCAGGAGACTCGTCCGCTGCTTTCTTTTTTTTCAGGGGTAAGTTTGTAGGGTTCGCAGGGTTTGTAGGGTTTAGGGTTTGGGGTTTCGGGTTTAGGGTTAGGGGTTGAGTTAGTTTAGTTGCTTCTTTTGGGTTCTTGTAGGTTGTGCAGATGGTTAAGGATCTACCACCCTAAACCCTAAACCCAGGCCGCTCTCGAGTTGAGTTAAGTACAGGCCGTTTTTGTTGTTGAAGAATGACCTCGAAGTTTGTTCCTTGCAAGGGCTTAGGGTTTAGGCCTTAGGGATTAGGGCTTCGCATTCAGGGTTTAGGGTTCAGGGCTCATTGAGGGCTTAGGCCTTAGGGTTTTGTTTGGGGTTTTAGGGGTATTAGGGTTGTTTAGGGTTGAGGGCTCCATACAAAAGCAGCCAAGGAAAGCCGTGTCGGGCACTCTGCAGGCCAAGGGACCTACCTGCCCCATGCAGCCCTGGGTTCCGGGTTTTGGGGTTTAGGGTTCGGGGGTTTAGGGGTTTGGAGGTCAGGGTTTAGGGTGTTGGGGTTTAGGGGTTGAGGGTTTAAGTTCAGGGGTTTAGAGGTTCAGGTATTCGATTTTCGGGGATTTGGGGGTGTGTTCGGGTTTGTGCCCAGGTTAGGGCACAGCTCGTTCTTAGGAGGAAGCTCGAAAGTTCGAGACCAAGCTAGGGACCCAACCTCGCCTCATGCACCTCTGGGCTCTACGAAGTGCTGACAAAGCCCATGACCAAACCCTGGCAACCTTAAACGCTAAAACCCTACGCCGTAACCCTTAAGCCCTAAAACCCAAGCCAAAACGCCCTACAGCCCTAAAGCCCTAGACCCTCCCTAAACCCTAAACCCTAAAACCTTAAAGCCCTAAGCTCATCTTCATGAACCCCAGAGGCTGACGATGTCTGGAAGGCGCCTGCAGGCCACCCGCTGTCTGGGATCAATATGGGACTTTCCGAAAATTAGGGGTACCTTATTTGGGGGTCCTTATAATAAGGATCCTACTATGTAGGGCACTATATTAGGGGCCCCTATTTTCGGAAACTCCCATTTTATGAAAACTGGAAGGTTCTTGGGGGGCAGGGTTGAAGGGCATTCGAAGCGATGCATAGTTATTGCCGGAAAACCTAAAGTTATAGCCCATATTAAGGGACTTATAACCCTACTTTTAAATCCCCAATGAGCCTCCAAGTCCTGGTCTCTTAGCAAAGTCATAGAGGGCCTCCCCGAGAGCAGCGTTGAGGACCCCAAAGAGGGCTGCCTTGCCCCCTGTGACTTGGGCCTAAATCCGAAAAGAATAGGGTTTAGGGTTTAGGGGTGAGACGGCGATGGGAGCAGCTCATAGGATACTCTCGGCACAGGATACAACTGCCTACGCGCCATTCCACGGCAAACCCTGAACCCTAAACCTCTAGACCCTTAAACCCCAAACCCCGAAACCCCGAAACCCTGAACCCCCTTGGAGGGGAGTCAGTGGATGATGCGATGCAGCTTTTCAACATGGCATGGGCAGCCGAGAAGCCCCTCGGCAAGAAAAGGACGCGAAGAGGGACCCTAGTTTCGAGAACTGCATAAAGGAATTTTTGGTGCAGACATCGGGTTCCTACTAAGTATGTAGAGAGCTGTACTTTTGCTCAGGCTTCGTGTTTGGTGTTGTGTGTTTCGAGTTTCTTGCGTGGCAGTTTGGGGCATCGTGGGTTTAGAGTTTTAGGTTGTGAGGCTTTCGGATTTAGGGTTTGGGGTTTCAAACTTGTGGTTTGGAAAGCGGATGTCAGCTCCATAGTGTGGCAAAGTGGGCAGTTTCTGTATTCTTTCGACTGTGCTTTGCTTACGGAGAATCATACGACAGTATCTTAGTAGCTGAGTGGATACACTTTACACTTTCTGGGATAGTGTTACCCAGTAGAAAACGGAAAGTGTACACGTTTTGGGGCTCATGAACTCAGCAACTACTGTAAGGAATGCCCCTGGCGCTGTAGTAGCCTTGCAAAGAAGGAACCCCAGCCTTCGCCATCACAGATGTACTTGGAGGTTCATGGGTAGTTATAAGTGGAGTTATATGTCCCTAATATGGACTATAAGTTACCCGAATTATAACTCCATGAACCTCCAAGTAAGGCAGCGAAAGACACCCTCCGTGGCGAGGGCGATGCTGCGCGCAAATGCGCGTCGAGTGGTTTGGTCCTCCTGCCTCCTGTTCTTGGGTTCTTGACCAAGAAGAGTTTTAGCCTGCCACAACAGCGATATTTGGTACACAGTATGCTTTCCGTATGTGTCAGCTCAAGTCTTGCGTTAGTTTCTATAACAAGAACCCAGGTTGATCTTCATGTGCACCTCGGCAGCACGGCGCAGCATCGCAACTTTCTTCCTCAGTGGGTTTCAGGCTTCTTTAGTTTGGTTAAGGTTCAGGGTTTGGGGTTCGAGCAGGTTTCAGGCGAGTCACCCTGCCCTAAACCCTAAACCCTAAACCCTAAACCCCTAAACCCTAACCCCTAAACCCTGGGAAGTCTGAGGTGCCCAGCTGGTGCAGCCTCTCCTCATCCAGAGCTTGATTGACGTGCTCAATGGCAGATCGGCAGGCCCTTGCCAGAGCAAATGCAACGTCAGAGACCCGAAACCTTGAACCTCAAAGCCTTCAAGCCCATAAGGGAGTTTCCGAAAATTAGGGTACCTTATTTGGGGGTCCTTTTGATAAGGACCCTACTATTTAGGGTACTATATTAGGGTCCCCTATTTTCGGAAACTCCCATAAAACTCTTACCAAAACCTTATAAAAGGCCCTGCCCTTTACGCCCTATCTACCCCCAAGCCCATGCTCTGAACTTGATTTTTCAGGCGCATCGGGATGGGTGCTGGCATCCTCGCTCCTGGTGTCCTCATTAGCGTCCTCGATGCTGATCTCCGAGTTCTTTCGACATTCTTTCATCCTGGGAATCTTGGGCAGGCCAGGGTCGGGGGTGACTTAGGGCCTAAGGGTTAAGGGGGTTTAGGGTTTAGGGGTTTAGGGTTCAGGGTTCAGGGGTGAGTTAGGGTCTAAGGTTTTGGGGTTAGGGGTTTAGAGGTGTAGGGTTCAGGGTTCAGGGGGTCAGGGGTGAGTTAGGGTCTAAGGTTTTGGGGTTTAGGGGTTTAGGGTTCAGGGTTCAGGGGGTCAGGGGTGAGTTAGGGTCTAAGGTTTTGGGGTTCAGGGGTTTAGGATTTAAGGGTTTAGGGTTTAGGGTTTAGGGTTCAGGGTTCAGGAGGTCAGGGGTAAGTTAGGGTTCGGGGTTTCGAGCTGTAGGGCCTCGGCGAGCGTACTCTGCATGTGGCCGGTGCTGGGCTTTGCGACTGTATATAACTTTCTAGACATAGACATGTACAAACATGTGAATACCAAAATATGTAAATATCTGGCAGGACAGCTGCCACGGGTGCTATCTACGAGAAAGCCATCAACATGTCTGCACGGGCACAGTCTCAGGGGTCCACAGGCCAGACCACAAATCTCATGTCGGTCGACGCAGAGATTCTGTGCTGGCACTAAGTTCAGGGTCGTATGTACCTTAATGAAGATTATAAGTAGATATAACTATAGCTTCATGGGATACCATTCGTACATGGATGAGAGTTGCCTCCGAGGAAATTCGTGCTCGCCGCGCAGTGTTTCCAATTCCTGTGGATGAGTCCGCTGATGATGCTTTTGTGTGGCATCGTCATGGCCTACCGCATTGGTTACGTTGGATTTCTGGGCTTGGCATTCCTGTTTATGACAGTTCCGGTGCAGCATCTCATAGCAAAGCGTGGGGCGCAAGTACGAGTCAGTGCTTTGGCATTTACAGATCAGCGGATGAAGTTTGTCACGGAGGCAGTGCAGGGAATCCGTGTGGCCAAGCTCTATGCCTGGGAGAAGATCATCTTTAAACACGTGGCTTCGGTGAGGCTGCTTGGTGGCTTTTTAATTTTACCTTAGGATCACAAAGTACCCTTAAAGGCAAGTGCAAGCTTGTTGGCCAACTGTGCATCTCAGGCTACGAGAGTGCGCGAAGCTTTGCAGCTGCCTTTTCTTCAAGATCGTTGTGCGCGAGGGCTTGCTCTTAATTGCTCCTGTCCCGACCCTAGCTCGTTTCACGCACTATAGGGGCCGAAGTAGTTACTAATATTATTCGTGGGGTTCCTTATTATGGTCATATTATAATAAACACCAAAAGCCTATTCTAATTAGTAAGGCCCCTATAGTCGGGTGCAGAGGGCTCAGGGATTAGCCTTGACGCTTCGAGTTCACAGGACAACTGCCAGGTTACTCACCATGCGCCCCACACTGCATTTGTGATGGATAGCCCCTCCCTTCAAGCACTGCAAGAACCCGGAGAAAGCTTCAATGCAAAGTATATATATATATATATATATATATATATATGTGTATGTATACGTGTGTATGTATATGTGTTACAGACAATCTCTACGGATCGCTCATCTCCCTCACATACCTTCGAGGTCAGATTTCCGTTTGGGGGGGAGGAGTGGGTGGCTGTCTAAAACTCTAAACCTTTAGCCCTAAACCCTAAGCGCTTAAAGCTTCAGCCCTGAACCCAAACGCTTCGCAGGGCCTCCGACAAATTTTAGTATTGTCATTACCAGTCCTATTCCCTCTATTTACGATTACTATTCAATTTCTTATTGTTATTTTGTAATTGTTATTGTTGTTGTTACCTTTATATAACCAGGCCACTTCTTGCGTACGGCTACTTTTTGTTGAAGAAGCTTCGGTAAAACTTGAACGACTTCCGGACAAACCCGAAAGGGAATAGGTCTAAGTGTTGTTGCCGCCCTGAGCGGCGCGGGGTGGGTGTAGTACAAAATTACAAATACTAGGTGGCAATTTGGGAAACTTTTTAATTTCCCTTATGGTTCCTATAGAGGTACCTATTCATAAATACTTTTCAGAGCCCCAAAACTACAACCCAGAATATTATTTTGGGGGTTCCTATGATTTGTGTAGTATAGTGGGCCGCAACACCATATTCCAACTCTTAAGGCTCCTATACTAAATTCCTTATATTATAGGACTGTAGTTTTGCATCGCAGCTTGCGTAGGAGTTTGTATGGTCGTGTACAGTCATCATGTTGTGTACTATATACCGCTGACTATTGTGCCCAAGCCCTCTGAGTAAAAGGTTAGCGCGACCGCTCATGGCTTAACGGTTTTGGTGTATTCTATAGGTTATCAGCCGTATTCGCTGACTTTGTCTCCGTGGTATTCTTACACTGGTATTCACACTGGTACATGAGTACTTCGCCCTCTCTGCTCACTACTGAGAAGGGAGAAACAACTGAAGTATCATCGGACGAGATGGACGACGAAACAAGAGATCGACTGCTTGATGAACAACTCACAGCAGCTGGCGCGGGCCCTATGGCATCGAGCTCAGGATCCCAAGCACTTGATAGGATCTTCGGCCCAGTGGGTCCTACCCTATCTCCATTTGTCTCAAATCCAACGGTCGACATCTCAAACGTGCAGTATACCTTGTACAATGTTGTGAACCAGGGTGAAACAGCCGAACACAAAGAATGGCAATAGAGCGAACGGAGGCAGATGCTGAAAGAAGACACGCAAGCATTCTGAACCAACAATCGCATGATAATCTTGTGAGAATGGCTGGCATGGCTGAACAGGCCGAGCGCCTTCATGAGGTGAAGATGGCAGAATGCGAAGCACAGTTTGCGGAATTTGAGTTCAACGCATCCCAAAGGGAAAAGTTTTTGTTGAACGAAGTTGCAACATGCAGGAATGAAATGAACATTCTGGAATCAATTTTCCAACAACGACATCAGTCGGAAATCGCTAAGCTCAGAACCACTCTGATTGCTGAAAGCGAACGCAACAAAGCACAACACCTTGACTTTCTTGGAATCCGATTCAAACAAGTCCTTGAAGAAACCGAAGCGAGTATGGAACGGCGTTTCATTACTGAAATCGCCGAAATGAGTGCACAAAACGACAGACTGCAGGATGAACTGGCTGCCGCAGAACGAGCCTTAAGAATGGAAGCCAATGCGGACGAAGCGGGCAAACAATATGCCACGCCGAAGCCAGGACCTAATCCTACTATCCCGTTCTCCAATCCATTTGAGATTCCCGAGAACATGAAGGACATCTTCGGAAGAACGCCGCAAGCTCAGGAACCTCCGCAAGGAACTTCTGTACCACCTGGGTTTGAGAACAGAGAGCCACAAAAGGAAAAGTCTCCTAAAGCTGCCCAAACTGGTAAGCCGGCGACTGTTGATCCAGACGGGGTTCCACATGTTGATTTCGGAGCTGAGGCATTGATTAGGGCAGCACGCTTGCTTACCCCTAAGACCGAAGAGGAAGAGGGCAAACCAAAGGTGAAAGAAGCCGAAAGCATCAAGCTTCCCGATTACCCTAATCCAGAGACCTACCGATCGTGGCGGATCTCGGTCCGCGAGATTGTGCGGGCTGCGAGCGATCGCCCGGATGAGGCATTTCGCTGGGTGCAGGAAGTATATGATAAAGAGGCTACCCTCAAGTCCTTACATGACACTGGGAAATTCTTAACATTGGACACGAAGTTGTTGGCTGCACTTACCAGAGTCGCTAGAGGAGAGATTTCAAGGCAAGTCCTAAACTTCAAGGAAACAGAGGCCACAGGAGGACGTGCCGTCAGGGGAAGACAAGTATTGTGGATGTTTCACCAACACTTTAAGACTAATGAAGAAGTCGGAAGCCTCTATAGCGTAGAGGACCTTTTAAAAGTGAAGTTGATTGGGGACGACTTGGCTACCTTCCTTTACAACTTCGAGTCGGTGATTGCTGGAATGAGTCATGTTCCGGATGAGGTTACTTTGAGGGACATTTTGCTGAGGGAAATTCGGAAATCCCACCACATCAAGTACGATCTTCAGCTGTACGACAGGGCAAAAGAAGGAAACCCTGTACACACGTATGAATTCCTCGTCAATGCCATTAGGGAGCATCTGACTAGAGAGCGTATGCGCAAGAATCGTGATCGCATCGCTAAGTCGCATGGCGATAGATACGGGGCTCCAGCGTACGGATCTGAACGTCGCCCCTCTTCGCGAGGAGGCCGTGGAAGAAGCATGTCCCGAAGTAGCTCAAAATCCAGAACAAGCAGCAAAGGATCGAGCCAACGAACACCGCCTAGATCTCAGAGTCCCAAAACACAACAGGTTTGTTACGACTTCCAGAAAGGGAAATGCACAAGAGGCGACAAGTGTAAGTTTCTCCACAAACCAAAGTCAAGATCCCCAAGTCCTCATCGAACGCCTCAGAAGAAGATCAACGCGATTTGCACCTTTTGGAAGAAAGGTAAGTGCAACAAAGGCAAAGACTGTAGGTTCCTGCATCAAGATAAGCCCAATCCAACTGACGCCGCTCCTACCGAGCAGGCCGCCCCTGCGAAGAACGATGAAAAGCCTAGGAGCCCGACCCCGGATCCTAAAGCAAAGAAGGAAAAGAAACACAGGGGCAGGTCCAAGAGCAAGGAAAAGTCTGGCGGACGCACGGCAGCTTGTTGCATTTCGTATGCGCTGGCAGCTGTGCCCAATGGGCAAGGCGTTAAGGGTGATGCTTCAGGAACGTTCAAGAAACTAAGGTTCAAGGAGAAGCCAAGCATTCGGGAGATTCCATTGGATGGTAAGGGTAAGAAGCATAGGACCAAACCGCGAACTTTCGAAGTTTGTTACTTGGATGCTGAAAGTTGCCCAAAGCCTCCAGTTCAGGACCTAAGCACGGCCATAAGAACAGCGAACGAGCTTGCCAGGATCATGTCCTGTATGCTCAATGGGATTGAAAGCCACTGTGAGTACGAGTGCACAGATGACTGTGAAGAGGGTGAGATCCCAGTTGCAGTGTTGAAGTGCGAGCTGTGTTCTAGCGTTGAAAGGACAGCATGCTCTAGCTTTAATGCGGGATTAGAATTCCTCGCCGATACTGGCAGTGAAGAAGATCTGATCAGTAGGCACGATCACTCCATCTACTACCCAGAGGCTCCCATCGAAAACGCTAGTAGGCCGGTCAACTTGATTACAGCTAATGGTCCAGTTCAGGGAATCAAGTCAACCAACATCCCGATGCCTGAACTGAAGCAAAACATTGAGTGCTATCTACTGGAAAGCACGCCACCGGTTTGTTCTGTTGGGAGAAGATGCATGGACGATGGATATGATTTCCATTGGCCTGCGGGCAAGGTTCCATACTTCATAGCTCCCGATGGTAAAGTCATCAAGTGTAAGATGAAGGGTAGAGTCCCAGTGATCTCGAATGATGACTCGGTAGCGAGCCCAGCAAGTGCTGATGATTCCCAGAAATCTGCTGGAACTCAGGTGTTTAACGCCGGTACAGTCAAGGTTGAACTGGCGGCACCTGCGGAGGACGAGTCTTCGGGTTTCCAGTAGAAAGCCGTCCGAGAGGACCGGCCGGGGATGAAAGAGTCGTTCATAGCGACTCCGAGATAGAAGAAGCAATCAATGCCGCACCACCAATTGCAATCAAGCCTAAAGATTTAGCCAAGCCAGGTTGGATCACTAGCAGTGAAATTGCCGCATCAAAGATCATTATTGGTCATCGGCCAAAGGCTTTGCGAGTACCTGCACCTCGTCATCCAAGGTTCGTGCTAAGGACCACTTGGATCTACAAGGACTCTGCTTGGAGCAAGATTGAGGATTCTGTTGACATCAGAAGTCTAAGGGTTAAAAATCAAAAGATTGATGGATCGCCAATTCTGTCGATTACTGCTTTCAAAAGACCCGAAGACGACCCCTTAATCGAGCCCGATAGTGACAAGGAAGAAGATGAGGGAAGGGAAATTTCGCAAGAAGCCCGGCTTCGCGCCGAGGCCGAAAGCATCCATCATCAATTCTGCCATCGTCCTAAGAACCCATTCTGCAAAGTGTGCCAAAAGGCGAAGATGCTATCTCCCCAAGCACGAAGAAAGGGGGGATCTTCGACCATACACAGTGAAAAGTATGGGGATCATGTTACCATTGATCACCTCGTGACAAGAGATTTGAGGGACTTTGGATTTCAGGATGAGAGGGTGGCGCTTGTTATTAAAGATGTGTTTTC